AATTCTTCTTCTGTTTTTAATCCAATACTCCAAAACAATCAATTTCATCTTTGTTCACGCGTGCAATATTTTTCAAGTGTCTTTGTCTATGTCAATTTCAATTCATAAATCGTGTCTTACTTTTATATATAATAACAAAAAATTTGATATTATGTCCCCACGTAATCTTGGACTTTTGAGCCCCCAATATAATCAACTTAATTAGGCTCAATCATGCATTTTTTAATGTTATTTAATATTTTACTTTAAATCCAACAAACCCAGGCATATTTTGTTTTTGTCATTTTATTCAATTTTTATTTCATGTACCCTACTCATGGGAAACCTAGATATTACCACTATCTGACCCCACGTTGTGTGTAAAACTGTTATTACTGGCAAATAGTCTAGAGCTAGTAATTCAAGAGAGATATGCTTTGCCAGGTCAAGTTTAATTTGAATTGAGTTTATTTGAATTAGACTTAGAATATCATACTCTTTTAAAAAAGCTTATATAATCAAGTACAGTCTTAACTTTTTTCAGTCAGATTCGAGTTGGCTTGTCAAATTTGGTCAAATTTACCTAGTCTATGTACATATGGCCATAATTTTAACAACCGGGCTTATTCAGAGTGGGCTCAATTTCGACCGGTTTATTTGGATCAAACTTAAAATACGCTACTCTCTTTAAAAAGCTTATATAATCAAGTCCAAACTTTTTTCAAGTGGCTTTAGGCTGGCATGAATTATCAACTTTATAATGGTTGGCCTCACAAGGTATTTTGAGAATGCCTTTGACCATTTTTAAAATTTTCTTCTAAAAAAGTTTAGGATTATTTAATGCATTATAAATTTTAGGAATTGAACTCAAAATTCTAAGATAAGCTTCAACCACTGGAACCAAATGCTTCCTACGCCACTTTTATTTTCTTTGTAATGGCCAAATTATGTTTTCAAAATATGATTTTATTAAAATATTACAAAAAAAATTGTTGGTTTGTATACAAAAAAGAAAAAAAGAAATTGTTGGCAAGTTAGATCGACAAAATAGATTTTGCGGTATTATATAAAAAAAATTTAAATATTTGTCAACAATAAATTTTAATACACTCGAAAAATAGTATTTTTGTCTTTAGAAAAATTTAAGATGATATTAGGTGGCAAATTTTTCAGCAAATTTTTAACAAGCATTGTACGAATATCGGGGTCAGATTTTTTTTTTTTCAAATAATCAACGGGCCAAACTCCCACAAGATGAGTTTGTTGATACTATTATGAAAGAAAATTCTTGTTGTATTTCCCTTATAAATTTGAATGTAATTTTAAAACTTTGGAGGAATGATTCTTTTGAAATGAGAAATTATGGTATATTATATTAATATTTTTTTAATTCACGAAAACCTTGAATGTCATTCTCCGTGAATTTCTCTTATTTATCAGGTCAAAAAAATTCTTTTAAATATATTTAAAAATAATAAAAAACCTCATATGCTTTGTTTTAGTGCTTGTTTAATTTTTAATTAAATCAAGGGAAAATCACAGCTAAGAACTGCTGGAGGATTTTATTTACAAACAAGGACCAAATAATTATGCAATTGTGCTACAGGATCAAGGAATTAAAATGTAATTAATTTTTAATGTGAAAAGACAAAATTGCCCTTCAGTTTTTTTTTTAAACTCCTTAGTCACTAGCTGGCAAAGCTCCGACACCAATGGTTGGATCACCCAATCGAACCAACCATCTGAACTTCGACAACAGTGGCTTTAGTGCCAGTCATCGGATTGATGAGGAAGACAAATTGTTTTTTTTTTTAAGGTGGTCAAGGTGGAGTTTGAACCTACATCCTCTTGGCCACCAAAAAAATTATTAGCCATTAGGCTAACAAATTCTTTCAATTATATAATGTAAATTTTTATATATATACTTAACTTTGTTTCCACTTTCCTTGCCAACATTTACTAGAAGTTCAATGGTTACTTATCATTTTATAAATAGCTACTTGTTAAACTACTAATGAAACTTGTTAAAAAATTTAATACAAACTGATTTTTATAAATACTTACGTGTTTTTATTACTAAGAATGACAAGTTTCCATTGATAATTTAATAAGTAACCATTTGTGAGATGATAAGTTTCATTACTAGCTTTGAAAATTTCTCTTAATAATTTGATAAGTAAATTTTAGTAAAATAATAAGTTCATATAAGTTTTTAACATGTAAGTTTTTAGCAATAAAAATAAGCAAACATTTATAAAAAAAAATTTCATATTAAATTTCTTTAACAAGTTTCCATTACTAATTTAACAAATAACTATTTATGAAATGATAAGTAATCATTAAATTCTAATAAATGTTGGCATGAAAAGTGAAAATAGAGTTAAGTATATATATAACAATTTGCATTATATAAATGAAAGAATTTGTTAGCCTAGTACTAATAAATATTTTGGTGGCTAGGAGGATGTGGTTTCAAACCTTACCTTGGTCACTTAAAAAAAAAAAATAATCGACCTCTCATGCTAGTTTGATGACTAGTGTTAGAGCTTCGATAGTGGTTCGACCACTGTTGCTAAAGCTCATATGGCCAGTCTAGCTATTAGTGCTAGAGCTTTGGTAGTTGGTGGCTGAGGAGTTCTTTTAAAAAAAATTGAGAGATAGTTTTTTCTTTTCAAATTAAAAATTAATTACGTATATTTTTTTCTTTTCAAATTAAAATTAATTACGTTTTGGTCCTTTAGTCCTGCAGCATAATTTCATAATCACTTGGTTCTTATTTTTAAATAAAATCCTCCATCAATTATTGGCTATGATTTTCCCTTAAATCAAGACATATAAATATTTTATGTATTAGTTATTCTATAACAAACTTTTATTATTAAAATTATTAATATGAGTTCGAGTTCTTATAAATGTAAAATAACATTTTTGGGAGGTATATTTCTTATTAAACCTGAAAATGCTCAAATATGACGTATCAAATAGCCAAATTAAAAATTTTCATCTGTCTTGATTTTCATTATAATAAATATATATTAAAAATATAAGACTTTTTTTAAGAAAAATGCTTAAGTATTTTCTCTGAAAAGAATTTAACTATGAGCTATTAAGATAAATATCTCTAATGTGGCATGTGTGTGGGGTCCACTGACAATAATATATAAAACTTTGATTATGTCCTTTGATATTAATTTGCCTTTGAATTTTTTTTCTTAAAAGCGCTGAGCACCTTAAAGTATTTTTTTAGGAGGATTGGATAATTTAAAGTTTTATTAAAATAAAATTTCATAAATATTGCTAAAATATTAAATATTTTTATATTTAATCATTTAAATATTATTATTTATATATATGCATTCAAAATTTATAAATTACTTTTTAAATATTAATAATTTAAATTAGCATTTTATAAATTTATAGATAAATTCTTATTTTTTATATACCGATATTTGATCTTCTTTTCAAGATAGTGTCCAAATCGTTATGTTTTTTGTGTGTGTCAAAACTTATATTGTTAATAGTAGTTAATTTTCTTAATACAAAATTGAAAATTACTAAAAATATTAAAATATTAAATTGGGTGGTGTAATGTTTTAAATAATAATATTTAAATTATTAAATATTTAAATTTTTAATATTTTGACAATATTTATTAAATTTTATTTTAACAAGATTTTAAGGTGTCCAGCGCTTTTATTAAAAGACTTTAGGATGTTCAACACTCCTAAAAAAAGAGTTTATAAAAAAATTAGTACCAAAAAACATAGTCAAAAATGTGTGAGTCCCACAAACATGTCATGTCATTAAAAAAAATGAAAAAAATTAATGGTTCATTGATGAAGGAGTTTTTTTATTTATCAAAAAAAATAATTTAAAAATAAAATTATTCAACTTAAGAGTATAAGATATCCAACGCTCTTAAAAAATAAATACAGAAACCAAATTAAACCTTTACACATTAAATTACTCATTTCCCTTATAAATGGCTCACATATTCTCTTTAATAATTTTATTTAAATTTTTATTTTTTTTAATTTATTTCATTTCATTTCACTTCTTTCTAATAACACCGCTCTTTTCAGACTCCTTCCTCTTCCCCTGACATGTTCACTAACACCTCCATCACCGGCGAGCCCACCCCTGCTACTGGTCCAATGCCCACCTCATTAACACCTCCGTCACCGGCAACGCCCACCCCTGCTCCTCTTCCGCTACAATATCGTCGGTCCCTTCTCTGCAACGCCTCCGTCTTTGATTCTCCGCTTCCAATATCATCGATCCATTATCTACAAACACCTACGCCTTCGATACTTTGTGGGTGAACGGTAATGACTCCGGCAAAGAAAACAAAGAGCGAGTTCGGTTTGTCTTTGTTCACTGGGGTATCCTTGAAGGAAAGATTGGGGAAGATATCAATTCAACGGTGGTTTTTTTTTCTTTTCCTCTATATTTTTGGATTGTTTTATAGAGATCTTCGGTTCGCATGAGTTTATGTTTTTTATTTTTCTTTTTCCTGAAATATAGTTTTAATGATTGTAAATGATGAAGATCATTTTTTTAAAAAAAAAAAATTGGTTCATTCTCTTCAATGAAATCCAGTTAATGCTGTTCATGTTGGGCGTTCTATGGTTTCCGATAGAATTCATGCCCAGAGCAGTGATGGCTGCGAAGATGGACATTTAAAAAATAAAAAAAAAATAAAATTGATGGATATGTTGATCATTTCAAAATATAAATATATTTTTAGATAAAATGTTATCCCACCTCTGATTGCCAAACATGTTTAAAATTTAAATCTCACTTCAGTTTTCATTTTCACTTTTACTTTAACTTTCACTTCCACTAAAATCATTTTCATATACCAATTGAGGTATAAGTCCTAGCTACGGCTACTATACATAGTAAAATTCCCGAATTCTTGAATTGCCTCCTTTCATTTTTTCCCCCTTGTCAATTGTGGATGGAGGCAGAAGTTATAAAGTAATGCAGACGTGTACAATTCATTGTTTTTGAAATTTACAGTGAAGAACAAGAATCCCATCTCAAATATATTTGCATTTTGTCTTTATAAATGTGTGTGTGTGTGTGTGTGTGGAAAGCAAAGTTAATCTTAAACTAATCAAACATTCTCCGTCATCGATACAAGTTTCGTACACTCAAACCCATAAAGCAAATAATGTATTCCAAAATCTGATCACATGCCATTCATGCTCACCCAACCCCCATTCCAACATTTTGCTAAATATAAAACTTCACACGTGTTTACCTATTTAATCCACAAGGACCACAACTGACATACCCACCCACCATTCCACTAATTTACCTATTTAATCCCCAACTAAAGCATCACTCACACAAAACACCTGGCGAGTGAGAGAGAGAGAGACATTTGAAATAAAGTATGGGTTCTATTGCAGGAGGAGAATCAAAACCTCATGCTGTGATGACTCCATTTCCATCTCAAGGACATATCAACTCAGGGTTGAAGCTGGCAAAACTACTTCATCTTCGAGGTTTTTTCATAACATTCATCAACACTGAGTTCAACCATAAACGCTTGCTGAGATCAAGAGGTGTCAAAATGCTTCAAGGCCTCTCAGATTTTCAATTTGAAACCATTCCAGATGGTCTTCCTCTTGCTGCTGATGACGATGCCACTCAGGACATACCCTCTCTATGTGTCTCTACCAGAAAGAATTGTCTCATTCCCTTTCAAAACCTTCTTGGTAGACTCAGTGATTCTGCCTCTCATGGCCTTATCCCTCCAATCACTTGCTTGGTTTCTGATGCTGTCATGTTCTTCACCATCGATGCTGCTCAAGCACTTGGACTCCCTATTGTTCTCCTCTGGCCTCCTAGTACTTATTCATGGTTGGGTTTTGCGCACTATCAAAATCTACTTGATAGAGGGATTGTACCACTGAAAGGTATTATACTGTACTTTCTTTGTCCCAATGGATAAGATATTTAATTCGCTACTAATTTCTTCTTCATGAAATATATGTCTTAAAGTTATGTATGTTTCAAGATATTATCATTTGGTGGTTGTAATGTGCAGATGAGAGCTATCTAACAAATGGGTACCTGGAGATAGAAATAGATTGGATTCCAGGTATGAGAGATATCAAGCTAAAGGATCTCCCTACCTTATTGAGGACGACAAATCCAAATGATCTCTTGTTTCATTTTCTTATTGAAATGGCGAATGAAGCTCATAAAGCTTCTGCCATTTGTTTCAATACATTTGATGAGTTTGAAGGTGAGGCAGTGAAAGCTCTTTCATCCATTTATTCTACTCCACTTTACACCATAGGCCCTTTCACTGCATTTTTAAGCCAAATTGAACAAAACAACCAGTTGGAATCTTTGAACTCTAGTCTTTGGAAAGAAGAGACTAAATGCCTCGATTGGCTAGAACTCAAGGAATTAGGATCTGTGGTTTATGTGAATTTTGGAAGTATCACAATTATGTCTTCAGAACAATTATATGAGTTTGCTTGGGGTTTAGCTGACAGCAAAAAACCATTCCTATGGATCATAAGGCCTGACCTTGTGAATGATGGCTCAGTAATCGTATCACCTAAGTTCCTAAATGAGACTAAAGATAGAGGTCTCATGGCAAGTTGGTGTGAACAAGAGAAAGTGCTGAACCACCCTTCAATTGGAGGGTTCTTGACACATTGTGGTTGGAACTCCATGACAGAAAGTGTGTGTGCAGGAGTTCCTATGATATGTTGGCCTTTCTTTGCTGATCAACAAACAAATTGTAGGTATGCATGCAAAGATTGGGGTATTGGAGTAGAGATTGATAATAATGTCAAGAGAGAAGATGTAGAGAAGCTTGTGAATGAATTGATGGAAGGAGAGAAGGGGAAGAAGATGAGGCAAAAGACTTTAGAGTGGAGGAAAATTGCGGAGGAGGACACAAGACCTGGTGGTTCTTCCTACATCAATTTGGAAAAGATGATTAAAGATGTGATGATGATCAAAACCAAAAACTAAGGAAATACCTTGAAATTAAAGTTTAACTTTCTATTCATGTTGGTGATTGATGAGAACTTGTTTTCAGATGTTTAAATGTAATAAAAATAAAATATGTTTCAAAATTTGTGCATGTATGTGTACTTTCTTTTGTCCGGTGAACAATACAATGATTTCATTATCTTTTCCTGATTCTTTACCATGCTCATCATGGTTTTGATATTGGTGTTGGCATAGAAAAGCAGCCGGTGTAAATAAGGAAGAAGCTCAAACATATGAAATATTTTATTCACGTTGACGTCAACCTAATATATTAAAGGGACAATGACACTTAAGGCCCAAATTAAAGAAATTAGCATTTAAAGCTCAATATATTCTGAATTTATACTGCAGGCTAAAAGTCTTACATGCAAATATGTTTTCTAGTAAAAAAACTCATTTGCCTTCGTTTGAAAAAGAAATAATATAATATTATATATAAAACATTGTATTGTTAATATATAGACCTTATTATATTATATGTGGATATTTTGTTATTCATACATATGGGGAATTTGTACATTATTATTTAACTAGACAAACTATATATAATAAACAAATATTTTATTGTTAATGTATGGACCTGGTTTTGTTATATGCAAACATTATGTTGTTCATACACTTAAAAAATTTGTACATTATTGTTCAATATAAAACACATGGATTAGATATAATAAACAAATATTGTATCGTTAATGTATAGCTCTTGTTACGTTATGTAATGACATTCTGTTGTATATACACATAAAATACTAATATATTTCAGATAAGAAACAAATAAGTCTTTTCACCCAAAAATATATTTGTATATAAAGTCTTTGGACCTATAAAATAAATTTAGAAGGTATTAGGTATTGGACCTTTGGTGCAAATTTTTTTTAATTTGGGAGTCTTTTGTGCCAGTCTCCCTATATTAAAGCGGTGGCAGCCGCCCCAGAAAGTTTTGTTTTCAGTTTCTTTAATAAATATATGTAGTATACGTGTATTACATGTCTCAATTTCATAAATACTAATTATTCTAATAATTGATAATATTACTTTTTTATACCATCTATAACTTTTTTTTTCACTTTTTATATTCATAATTTTCATGACGGACATAAAAATATTAGAAATTTTATATTTATTATTTTATTTGAGTAAACTTAAATTTTTTTCCCCATTGGAACGATCTTTTCCCATCTCAATTTTTTTTATTTAAAATCAACGCATGATGCCCTCACAGTTCAAAATATCTGGATCCGTCATGATGTGCATATGTGGTCTCCTATTGTAAAATAGGAAGTTAGATGCGCTTGTCCATATTTATTTAATAATTATATGGCATATGTATGAATGATGAAATTTACTTATAATAGATAATAAAAATTTATTTCTTCAAGGTGCCAATTATTGTACTATATATTGCATATAACTGTAGTTTAAGTTGTTTTTCTCAAGTAATTAATTTGTCTAAAATTATTAATTTTTAATTAAAAATTATTTTTATTTCTCAATTTTATCTGGAAAGATCATTGGACATCCGGAACTTTACTAAAATTTAATTTATCTCAATATATAAAATTTGCTAATCCAGTACCCCAGCCGTTAAATGGTCTGATTTCTGTTTGTTTAGTCTAAAGTCCCACCAGTTTTATATTTTTTATAATAAAATATTAAATATGAACTCCACATTATATTTTTTTAATATTTTTTTAAAAAAACATATATTTTGGTATCTATACTTTACTTATATTTTATTATAAATTCCTATAATTTTTTTTAATATTTTGAATTTCTATATTTTAATTTTTTAATATTTTACATTCATTTAAAGTTTTTACATTATGTTTATTTTATTTATTTAGGGATTTAGAATATTAAAAAATAAAAGTATATAAATTTAAAATATAAAAAGATATAAAAATTTATAATAAAATATGAGTAAAGTGTAGGGATTAATTGTACGTGTTTTTTATTTTTTACTTCTCCTGTTTTCCTTCCTTTCCTCTCCCCTCTCTCTCTCCGCAACGTTATCTGGTTTTCGGACTTCATCAGCCTGCACCCATTAGAATCCGCTCGTTGGGCTTCAAGGCCCGGAACAAGTCCAGCTCCACAAACGGCATCGTGAACCTCAAACTTGATTCGGATCCGAAGAACTCCAACAAGTGGGTTCTGACATCGGAGCTGATTATATGTGTTAACGATGAAAGGTGTTGTAACACGGCGGAGAAGGGGATGGTCTTAGGTTTGGAGGTAAGGTTCACTGTGTCATCCTTGCGGGCAACTGAAGATGGTCCAAGCTGGTGCTCGAAGGAGCACGTGCTAAACCACTCGGCGGTCGGAGAGTGTCTGCGCCGGGAAGCTGGTGGTGTGCTGGCCGTTTTTTGGAGTGAGGGAGTGGGATGGAGGTGGGGCCGTTGATGAAGTAGAAGGATTTGGTCATTTGGTGATGGTGAGAAGCAAAATCTCTGTTTCTAAAAAAAAAAAAAAAACAGGGGAGAACAGAGACAATCTAAACAGGGGAACTCAGTCGCTGGATTTGCCTTTGGTGATGGATGCATGCACCGTCTTCTCTGTCTCATCTTCATGCGTCTCAATCTATATAAGAAGAACAAAAAGCTATTGCAGTATACAATGCAATATAAACCATATACCCAAGTGGTAGACCACATGCCGGTGAGAATTCGGGTTCAGAGTATCCTCTGAATTTGATTGATGAGGTGGAATATTAAATAATTAAATATAAGTATGGAGGTGATAGAGGAGTGTATCATGAATGGAGAAGGAGCGTGGGAATTGTGTGCGACTGTTGCCATGGTGAAGGCGCTGCTGCTACATGCACTCCTGCTTCTTCTTCTGCTGCTTGCTCCCATCTTCTCTGCCATTAACTGAGAGAGACTGGGGAGGAGACAGAGAGAGAGAGAGACGAGAGAGTGGGCGGTGATTTTTGAAAAAAAAAAAAACGTTATAATAAAAAAAATATAAATGTGTCACACAATTATATTTTATTATTAAAAAATAAAAATTGTCTGAATTAAAAATTGATTTCTACAATTAAATTAAAGTTGGCATGAGTGATAAAAATTCTCATCACTTTAGTAAATGATTAGATGTTTGAATCTTAGCACTTTAATTGACTACTCTTAACATATCGGGAGAGATAGAACTTGCTTGAAACTATTTTTATTTTTTATTTTAAAATTTAATGTTTTGTAAAATATGTTTTGAGAACAAAAAGTAAAAGTAAAAATAAATTTTTTTTTATTCTCTAAAACAATAATATCAAAATACTTAAAAAATATTTTTGTTTTTTATTCTCCAAAACATTATTTTATTTTTCATTTTTTAAAATACTTTTTAAAAACACATTGTCAAATATGTTTTTTTTATTCTGGAGAATAAAAAATTATTCTCAAAATAGGTTGCCACATAAATCATATTTTTTATTATTGGCAGAACCTATTCTTTATGCTTATATAACAAGGGAAAAATATCAACTAAAGACTCTTGAGAAATTTTATATTAGCTGAAGACCTTATATTCTGATATTGCACTACACCCTTTTTGTACTTATTTGAAAATAAGTTTTTATGATGAAAGACCTAATTATCCTTAATAATAAAAGAGAAACAACCAAATGAGAAAGCATAATGGGTTGTTGTTAATCACAGATGTGTTGTTGTTAAAACTAAATAGATATTAATTGATATAGAACTAACACTTGTTCAATTTAACATGTCCTATAAGTTTTTTAACTTGTTCATGTTTGAATGATTTGTTGTTAATTACAAACATGCTATTTAAAACCAAATGAATACTTCTTTATATAGGACTAACAGTTGTCCAATTTAGTATGTCCTATCAATGTTTTTTAACTTGTTTATTTTCAAATGATTTGTTATTAATTATGAATATATTGTTGTCAAAATCTAAATGAATATTTGTTTATATATGATTAATATTTGTCTAATTTAACATGTTCTATTAAATTTTCTAACTTGTTTATTTCGGAATGGGTAGTTGTTAATTATAAAAGTATTGTTGTCAAAACTAGAATTTGCATGACCAACATTTGTTCAATTCTTTTAAATGAGTTGTTGTTAATTATAAATGAATTATTATCAAAATCTGAATTAGTCATTATTTTAAATTTTAAGAATAATTAGATCTTTTCTTATAAAAACTTATTTTAATATAAGTACCATAGAGGTGTAGGACAATATCAAAATCTTAAGTTCCGATATAAAATTTCTCCAAAGAATCTCAACTGATGTTTTCTCTGAAAAAATTGAAGTAACAATTATTGGACTGTATAAATACTGCAATTGAAATTGTTTTGTTTTGGCCAAAAAAAAAATTTTTGAAGTTGTCTTGTTCAAGTTATCTGTATAAGATATTTATTTTTTGTTGTTGTTGTGATGGGTTTTTTTGGTTATCTAAGATATTCTTACAGCCAGTAGCCATCTTTAAGAAATCCAAGAGCCATTGTGATGGCTATTTCTGTCTTTCAGCTTACCTTGACTTTGTTCTTTCCTGTTTTAATCATGGTTTAGTTTTAATTTGATATATTTACTCTTAGGTAGATATCTTAGTTGTTCGTGTGGGTTTCTGTTTTTCTGATTTTAGTTATAGTTAAATTAACATTTATTTTGACATCCTTATTTAAATAAAGACAGTTTCATAATCATTGGCCAAGAAATAGAATAATAACTCATATTTCGACACTTTTTTTTTTAAAAAAACTTTGGATGGTTTGAACAATTAAATCATGGTACGAAAAAAGTCAAATTGGTCAGGCCAGTTCGACCAATAAAATAAAACTTGCTCCAACCCAAAAGTGAGAAGCTAAAATCCATTATACATTAATTAGAGTAACAGTATATGCATCCAAAATAGCAGGAGACAATCTTATCTCAATCTCACTCTTAATCTTCTTAAATGTAATATAAGTTAAAGTTTACATTTAATTTTTTAATTTTATATAAGGTTTTATTTTAATACCATAACTTTAAAAAGTATCTTTTTAGTTTTTAATCCTAACACTATTAATTTTATCTCAATAAATTTTTACATTAAACTTTCAAATATTGACAAAATATTCTCAACTATTGACATATTACTTTTAATTTTTTTAAAATAATAATAATTGATATAAAAAATAATCATTTAAAAAAAATGATGTTAGAGTTAAAGGATTAAAAAGATATTTTATAAAATCAAGGGACCAAATTAAAATCTTATATAAAGTTAAAGGATTAAAAGTATACTTTAACCATATATAGTAATGTGGGATTTAGAAGCATAGTAGGACCTTTTTCCTTTCCCTAAAAACAAAAATTAGTTCTTGTTTTGTGTGAAAAATAATAATAAAATCTCTTTAAATTATGTAAATGACATTTTGGTTCCTTAAAATATCATAATTTTTCTGAAGTCTCTAAGAACTTTTCTGTCAGTAAAAAATTAATATAAATGATCAAATTATCCTTAATTTAAATATCAATTGTCATTCATAAGTTTTTTTTTCCTAAGATTCACAATTTTTTTAAAATTGTAAAAATTTAATAGCAATTTACAAGTTTAAATTAAGAGTAATTCAGTTATTTATATTAATTCCTTAATGATAAAATTTTTTTTAGAGATTTTAAGAAAATTATGACATTTTGAAAGGTCAACATGTCATTTATATAATTCAAATGGATTGTATTATCATTTTTTCTATTTTTTTTTACCTGCTCAATGTTTTTCCCTCGAGGAGCAATGAAATGTTATACTGAATAGTGGGGTAATATTTTTTTAAATAATCTTTTCAGGAGTAAAATTGCTCTTCTTTCAAAGAACTGTTATTTATTATTATTATTATTATTATTATTATTATCTGTTAATGTAAAATAGTTGTGGGATCTATATACAGTGATAACAACATCTGACCAGCTTGATCTAATCTCCACCTTCCTTGCATTTGCTGGACTGTTCTTACTCTTCATTGCATTGCTGACCTATACTCTATTGCCGAGCATGGTTAGTGGATCAAAGTCCAAATTCCAAGATATTTACGTAGTAATAACACGAACATCTTATGCCATGCCAATCAAGCCAGATGCGATAGGAATAGCATCGAAACGTGGATTTAATTTAATTAGTTTAATATTTCATAATGAAGAAGAAATAGCAATTACACCCCACTTTTATATGAAGAACGAAGCTTTTTCAGAGGCAGCTTCAGCTCTGGAGTACGTGAAATCAAATCCAGAAACACCTACGAGGCTAAAATCAAGGAGAGGTAAATTGGTTGGTCAAAATGGTAATTTGATATTTTACAAGATAAAAAATACTATCTGCCCCTTGATATTTATTTGTAATTTAGGAGATTTAATAAATATTAATTTTTTATAAGATACTCATTTGTAATTTTTGGGTCCATTTTATAAATTTAAGGTCATTTTATATCATTTTTGAGTCTAACTAACAGTTAAAAACAATTGTTAACGGTATATATGAACAATGTTGGATCATTTTTTATAATTAAAGAAGAATATTGTACCACAGAAAAATTTAGAATATAAAAAAATCTTTCTTTTAATTTGAAGAGTAAAAATGTTCTTTAACTCTTTAAAAAAATTGACATTTAAGTTGGTTTTCAAATACTAATACCAAGTCAGTTAGAGTCATTTTCAAGATTAGCTAGTTTGAGGATGCAATGAATCTAGCATTTTGGACTATTTCTTTTTCCACCAAAAGAAAGCCAAATTCACTCCAAACTCTTCCATTTCTTTTGTTAACCAAGAAACTCTTCCATTTCTTGGTAAGACCAAATATAGCATCCAAGAAATCTACAGCCTTTTCGATATACAATATTCAAGATTCAAGACCGGTAATCTCTACACTGCTAATCCAAGTTCCATCACTATTATGATTTATTTTTGACGTTTAATGTTCTGATAACCTCATCTCTCACATTCTATTCAATTCAGTGGACTTTTCAACAAAATTGTCGCCAATGGATTCCAACCCAACTCTCTTATAATGTGTGTGTCTGTGTATGTGTATATGTATGCATCATTTTGCTCTATAAAACTTACACACATTTGTTACAATGGGTTCTGATGTAGGAGAAGGATCATCAAAACCCCATGCTGTGTTGATTCCATTTCCAGCTCAAGGGCATATCAACTCACTGTTGAAATTAGCAAAGCTTCTTCATCTTCAGGGCTTTTTCATTACCTTCGTCAACACTGAGTTCACCTATAAACGCTTGCTTAGATCAAGAGGTGACAAAATCTTTCATGGCCTCCCAGATTTTCAATTTGAAACCATCCCAGATGGTCTTCCTCCTCCTCCTGATGAAAATGCATCTCAGGACATACCCTCTCTTGTTAATGCCACCAGAAAGAACTTTCTCATTCCCTTCAAGAACCTTCTTGCTAGACTCCATGACTCTTCCTCTAATGGCTTCATCCCCCCAGTCACTTTGCTGCTCTCAGATGTTTGCTTGGGATTCAGTGTTGCGGCTGCCGAAGCTTTTCAGCTCCCCATCATTCTTCATTGGCCTGCTAGTGCTTATTCATACTTAGCTTTTGTGCACTTTCAAAATCTAGTTGAAAGAGGTCTTACACCACTCAAAGGTATTATACTCTTATCTCACTGTGCTACTAATTTCTTCACAAAATGCGTGCGCGTATTAGTGTATGTTACATATATCTTTCGTACTTTCAGGTCTAATCATTTGTGATTTTAATGCAGATGAGAGTTATCTAACAAATGGATACCTAGAGCAAGAAGTAGATTGGATTCCTGGTATGAGAAACATCAAGTTGAAAGATCTCCCTTCCTTTTTGAGGACAACAGATCCAAATGACTTGTACCTCAACCTTTTCATTGAATTGGTGGAAAAGGCTCACAGAGCCTCTGCTATTTGTTTCAACACATTTGATGTGCTTGAAGGTGAGGCAGTGAAAGCTCTTTCCTCCATTTACGAAGCTCCTCTTTACACAATAGGCCCTCTCCCTTCTTTTTTGAATCAAATTAAAGGTAATGACCAGTTGGCATCTACAAATTTTAGTCTGTGGAAAGAAGAGAGTCAATGCATTGACTGGCTAGAATCCAAGGAATCCAGATCTGTGATTTATGTGAATTTTGGAAGCATCACAATCATGTCCCCAGAACAATTATTCGAGTTCGCTTGGGGTTTAGCTAATAGCAAGAAACCATTCTTGTGGATAATAAGGCCTGACCTTGTAAATGGTGGTTCAATGATTCTATCACCTGAGTTTTTGAGCGAGACTAAGGATAGAGGCTTCATAGCTAGCTGGTGTGAACAAGAAAAAGTGTTAAACCATCCTTCGATTGGAGGATTCCTGACTCATTGTGGGTGGAATTCCATTACAGAGAGTATTTGTGCAGGAGTTCCTTTGGCATGTTGGCCATTTTTTGGTGATCAACAAACAAATTGTAGGTATGCTTGCAGAGATTGGGAAATTGGAATTGAGATAGATAATAATGTGAAGAGAGAAGATGTTGAGAAGATTGTGAATGAGTTAATGGAAGGAGAGAAAGGGAAGAAGATGAGACAAAAGGCTTTGGAGTGGAAGAAAATTGCAGAAAAAGACACAAAACCGGGTGGATCTTCATACATCAACTTGGAGAAAGTGATCAAGGATATGCTGATCAAATAAAAAAAACTAGGGCGCGACCTGAAAAGGTTTGATTTTGTTTTCTTCCCACGTGTGCTTTTGAAAACTTATTTTTAATATGTTTGAGTATAATAAAAGTAAAAAGTTTTCGATGTTAGTGTTTTATGTTATAAATAATACTATATTTCATTTCATGTCAAGGTAATATATTTTATAAGAAGTTTTCACAAATAGAAATAAAGTTTATGATCCGCAGGGATCAAGTCGCCTAAGTAAACTTTGTTTGTCCCATTTGACACATATAAAGCAATGTCAATTTGAATATTAATTATGCTATTTTTGTTGGCAATTTTTTTTAAATGACACTTTGAATATTCGCTCACGACATGTTTATTTTAGATACATGGTGCAAATTTACTTATAAAGAATTTTGTGAAGAGCTACCGGTATCCTTAATTAAAATATGTCCAATCTATGACGGATGCCAAACGTTCTTCAAGGATTGTGAGTTCCATTTATTATGCCACATGTACATGGATTTTTTTTTTTCCCCTAACCAAGTCACATGTAAATTGGTTAGGAAAAACATATCCATCATGCATTATATTAAAGTACAATTTTGCCCATACTTAATCTCCTTACTCTTTGTTTTTGTCCCTTTCATGAATGGGCCCGATGATGACGACGACGACGATAGTAATAATGGAGGCAACAAATGGATTATTGGGTTTTGGAGTAATAAGAATAGGCTGGGAAATGGGTTAAGGTTTTTAATGTTATAAGAACATACAGATGGAGTACGGGCAACACATGAAGAAGAGTATGAAGTATTTTGATGAAATCATCTCCTTGTATATGTTTCTTTACATTTTATTCTGCACTTTTCCTTGTGATAAACTCATAGCCTTGTGACTATTCTTTTCATTCATACAATTAAAGGTTAGTTTTTTCACTATTCTCTGTCATATTATTTCAATTCTGGTCCCTACTTATTGTTCAATAAAGGTAATCGTGACAGCCACTTTTATTTCAAAAAGAAAAAACGACCAAAAAAAAAAAATCATGCCACGAGCTTTTCAACGCTTTAACGTCCAGACCGGTTGGATTTTTATCATAAATAATTGATTATGAAAAAAAATTAATTAATATGGTTGATTTTGAATATTAGTAGTTTATGTTATATGGTACGGTATAATTAATTTATAAAATTAATTAATTTTAAGCACAATTGAAAATAAGTCAGAATTATCATTTTGTGAAAATATATCTGCACACCTATTATATATTAAAATCAATTATAAACTCAAAATTATGATTTTATTAAAAATCAAAAGAACATAACTTTTTGTTTCTGTATTTTAATCAAGTTTTGTTATAGGTTCTTGTATTTTTTTTTCAGTGTTTTAAGTCTATACACTTTTATTTTTTCGTATTCTAAGTTCTAATGTGAGCAGTGTTTCAAGGACTTAGAACACCCAAAAATAAAAGTGTAGAAACTTATAACACTGAAAAAAAAAAGTGTAGGGACCTATAGTAAAACTCGAGTAAAATATGTTTTGCCTTAGAAATATCCAAACATCTCTATATATGTCAAAATTAATTATAAATTCAAAATCATAGATATCTCATAAGCTAATATCACATAATTTTCAATTATAGTTTTCTAAAAATTTATCCAAAAAATATACAAACCCTTTCACAAATCATGTTTTTAGATTCATAATTGATTTTAGCATGTATAATGGTGTTTGAATATTTGTAAGCAAAATATGATTTTGGATTCATAATTGATTTTAACATATATTCAGGAAAGCAAAAGACAAATAGTAACCAATTACTCCCTCTTATCATTAATATAAAGCAAATTTAATCAATTTTGTGCCAATTAAAAATGATATTTATACCTAAAAATTGTTTAAAAATATATAATTTTTCAATTTTACCCTTCTTTATAATTAATAATCATATTGAATTATTTTCTAGGAATTTGAATGATAATAAATAAACAAGGAGAAAATTTGAAAAAACATTAACTGCTCTAATTTTGCCCTATATTAAGAACAATTAGGAATATGATATTTTGAAATATTGGCAAGTCATTTCCATTAAACAGTTAGTAGTGTTCCTTAGATGATCACTCTTTAAAGTGTGTTTGCTTAGAATCATACAAGTACTTCCTCTCCTCCGTTCCTTTAATACAAGTCACACTCTAAGAGGTTTTTACAGTTTTAAATATAAGTTACTTCGTAAAAAATTAATAGTAACAGCTTTTTGTGTTTATAAATATTCTTTATTATATAATTTAAAAAATTTAAATTACAACTATTTTTTTCAAAATCATATGAAATGGCTAAGAATAATTTATATTAAAGATAATACAAAGAATATATAATTTGAAATTGAAGGGAGCTTGGTTGGTTCGACTAGTTAAGAAAATCTATTTTAAAATTTTAGGTTTGTGTTTTAAGATATGTAACTGCATTAAATACAAATATTAAACAATAGTGGGATTTATACTAGTTTAGGCATCTGGTGATAATACCCAAATTTTTCTTACTATGCTAGGCGATGTAATAAAAAGATATAATTTTGAAGACACCAGGCCATTTTTGGTATCACAATCCTCAACAATTGAAAAAAAGACATTTACGTTAGTTTTCAGATCGTAATAGGAAGTTAGTGAGGGATCCATAGTACTGTTTCTCGTCTTCATTTTAAATTTTTATAGTTAATGGATATGAGAAGACCAAAATTGCTAGATTCATTGCATCCCGAAACCTGCAAATCATATCCATAGGCCTGTGTCTCTTTTTCCACAAGAAGATAGTCAAAATGTCAAATTCCTTCCAAACTCTTCCATTTCATGGTAGGACGAAAAGTAGCAGCAAAATGTACAAGATTTTCAATATATATTCATGATTCAACATAATCTACATTATTAGTCTTTGGCGTTTAATTTTCTGATTACCTCGTCTCTTACATACCATTCATTTCGGTGCAAGTTGGACTTCTCAACAAAATTGCCGACACTGGATTCCAACTCATCATCTCGCTTCCCAGTTCATGTCGTGCACTTACAATGTGTCACATCTGTCTGTATATATCTATATATGTATGCATGTATAATTTTACCCTCTAAAACTTCAATCAGTTGCTGCCAAACCCCAACCTAAGCTTCAACTAGAGAGAAAGTGAGAAAGATATTAGAAATAAAGCAATGGATTCTTCTGAAGGAGGAGGATCAAAACTGCATGCTGTGTTGACTCCATTTCCAGTTCAAGGGCATATCAACTCAGGGTTGAAATTAGCTTAGCTCCTTCATCATCAAGGCTTTTTTATAACCTTCAATTAACACTAAGTTCAACCATAAACGCTTGCTTAGATCAAGAGGTGTCAAAATCCTTCATGGCCTCCTAGATTTTCAATTTGAAACCATCCTAGATGGCCTTCCTCCTCCAGCTGATGATAATGCTACATAACACATAGCCTCTCTTTGTAATGTCGTCAGAAAGAACTGTTGAACCCCAGTTTTGATAATTATAAAATAAAGAGAAGTTTTTGTGTTATAGGTTATTTAATCTTAACCAAAGTTGATTAGCTTAACATTAATCTAAACTAAGTGTAAGCTTATCTGTGTAATAGAAATTCATCTTTCTAAGTACCCCTTTCTTAGTTAAGTGTTTGACTTAACTATATTTTATACGGTTGATGCATCCTAATACAATTTTATTCTAAAATTGTTTCTAAGTTCCTTTGCACCGGTACTTTGGCCTTAGCACTAATGCTACTTGAATTGTTTCTTCACCTATTTCTTTCTCTCTTGTTTTGTCTTCCATCTAACATTGGTCCTACTTATTCTAACACCAGTGTTACCCCTTTGTATCTATGCAAATGATTCTCTATTATTTGAAAACTCTTCCCTGCACTGGTACTTTTTATATAACATTAGTTTTGTTCTTCACTTGTGTCCTTATCTAAGTTAAGATAACACCTATGCTATCTAACAGTACTTGTACTAAATTATAAACTCTATATGTAACACCTGTGTTGCTTGTATAGCATTGGTACTGCCTCTTTTATTCACTAACAAGCACGCCTGTTGATCATGTAACTTCGGTGTTATTTTCTTTAACACTGATGCTAAGTAACCTTTGCATTGGTATTTTAGCCTTAGCATTGATGCTACTTGAATTGTTTCTTCACCTACTTCTTTCTCTCTTGTTTCGTCTTCCATCGAACACCAGTCCTATTTATTCTAACACCAATGTTACCCTTTTGTATTTGTGCAAATGATTCTCTATTGTTTGAAAACTCTTCCTTGCATTGGTACTTTTTATATAACATCAGTTCTGTTCTTCACTTGTGTCCTTCTTTGAGTTAAGAGAACACTTGTGCTATCCAACAACACTTGTACTAAATTATGAATTCTATATGTAACACTTGTGCTACTTGTATAGCACCAATACTGCCTCTTTTATTCACTAACAAGGACGCATGTTGATCATGTAACTTCACGTTATTTTCTTTAACATTGATGCTAAGTTACCTTTTTGAAAATATCTTTTATTCACTTAAATATTCTTAAAAATCTTCATCTTTTATGAAGATAAACAATACCGGTACTGTCTGAATAATAGCTATGCTAAGCTTTTCTAACAAAGCTTTTTCATTACGTTAGCACCAGTGCTGGGACTCAATAACACCGGTACTACCTTTCCTTCTTATGCTCTATTTTTCATGATGATTTTGAATCTCGCCGAAACTCATTTATCAACCTTTCTTTTCATCTGCAACCAATTATGTTCACTCTAAATCCTTTCAAAATGATATTCAAACACAATTATTTTCTTGAAGTTATTTAGTTTGTTAATCTCTTTTTGAATCATTGACTTTGCCTTCTGTTACACTGAGATGAATAAGCTTTACCTACTCTTGTAAGAAGCATTTAATATTTTTAGCGGTACAAAAGAGGAAGTCTCTGTTGTAAAGTACTGTTCCATTGCCTTGTCTACCTAAGAACCTCAGTTAAGCTCAGATATTCAAGGAAAACATGAAGGAAAGGAGGAAACATGATACAAGCAACCTTCAATAGAAAAATTTATGAGTCTAACAGATGATTTATGATTCTCAACTATAAATAGACTCATTTATGAAATCTGAGTAGGATAACAAAAAATGTGAGTCAACAAGAAAAAGTCTAAGATTGCTTAAGCATTAAAATTTACCTACTTTTATGTATCATTTATTAGTTGAAAGCTTCATTGATCATATATCTACTCTTAAAGAGTGTTTAAAGTAATAATAGTTCATTCTTGAACTTACTTTATCCACCCCTGTTTTTCATCTTTAAAATAGAGAAACTTAAACTTGGGGAGTTTAAGGAGATTTATCATTACTTTTGTAAGGGGAAGAGTTTAAAACTTATTATGAAGTGTATTGATGTAATGAGGCAACCAGGAGCCTAGATTAATTTTAGTAATATAGTTGGAAATCTCAGGAGGTTCCTGAGGTTTGGACATAGACTTAAGTAGTAGGAGTCTAATGTAGAATGGGGAAGGAGAAGGGGGATAGAATATAGAAAGAAAGAAAGGGATCAATAAAGAGAATAGAGAGAAGAGAAAATTCAAAGGAGAGGCAAGATAATAGTAAATCTTATTCAATTAAATGTGCGTATAAATCAAATGAGTTAAGGTGCTATTTATAGGTCTTAACCCAACCCTAGAAATAAATGCATGAAAATTCTAAAAATTCTAAAATTAAATAAAAAGATAATAGTAAAAATTGAAAGATAATAATAATTCAAATTAAAACAAAATATGCGTAATTAATATGAGAGCAAAATATCTTCAATCTTTAAATTTGCAATATCCTTGATGATAGGAAGAAAATTAAAAAGAAAACTTATTAGGACACCTTTGGCTGTATAATCATGAAGTCATTAGTCA